AAATATTGTTAGGATAAATATTGTTGCTTCACTGGCTTTTACGCCAGTGGCTCTTTATTCATTACAAACTCTCGTCATCCAAGCCCCGGGCTTCGTACTATTTATATATATATATATATATATATATATATATATATATATATATATATATATATATGTGTGTGTGTGTGTGTGTGTGTGTGTGTGTGTGTGTGTGTGTGTGTGTGTGTGTGTGTGTGTGTGTGTGTGTGTGTGTGAGGCAGAGTAGTTTGAGAACAATGGACAGGGAAAATGTGAAGTCAGAGATCCGTACTTGCGGAGTTGCTATGCTAGGAGTCAATAAACTCTTAGCATAGCAACTCCGCAAGTTCGGATCTCTGACTTTTTATATATATATATATAAATACAACACGGGCACTTCACACCATCGTACGTGGTCTCCGAGGAGGATATAAACGAAATTGTGCAGATGAATGAACCGTACTTAATCCAATGAATTAAAGAATCCAAGTTTCCAGGAACCCGCCGAAAGCCAAGAAAGCCGAAAGCCAAAAAGCCAAAAACGGCGGAGCCATCCTGGCTCCGCCGTTTTTTGGCTTTCGGCGGGTTCCTGGAAACTTGGATTCTTTAATTCATTGGATTAAGTACGGTTCATTCATCTGCACAATTTCGTTTATATATATATATAATTTGCTTTGTTTTAAACACGGGCGTTAAGCAGCTTTAGGAGAAGCCATTCACGCTCATACAAGGAAATCGAAGAAGCGCTGACAGACGTACCCTTCCGAACCTTGCTATAAAAGGACAATAATTCAGACTCGTGAATTACTACTAAGGGAGCTGAAAGGAGTGTGCATCAGCGCTCCCTCGGTTGTTCTTCGTGGGTATAGATTAGCGTTCCCGAGGTCGCCTGATGTTTTCGGTTAAAAAGGAGTTTGCGATCTTTCTAATTTTTTTAAAAATATTTATGAGATAACAACTAGCCATCGTGAATACCCTTTTAAGTTTATCCCAGGCTTCCCGCGAGATCTATCTGACGTCCACATACGTTCTCTGTACAAGAAAGATGAAGAAAAAAAAAGAAGAATGCCTGAAAGTTTTTGTTTACGTCTAGATAGTTTCACGACAAACGGTTCGCAACCGGTTAAAGAACCGCACAGAGGTAAAATTTGCTCTGCAGGATTGGCCGTAAGTGGCTTAGCGTTTAAGAACAATAGGATTCAACAAAAGTCTCTATTTTTTTTTTTTTTTGAGGGGGGGGGGGGGGAGTTTGTTTGTTTTATTTTTAGTTTTTTTTTGGATCCTGCAGCTTGTAATTTTCGCCTCCCCAAGTGTATACCGAACAACCAAGCACCACAAGACAATGCTGCTTTGATGCTTTTTTTTTTTTTTTTAGGGGGGGGGGGGGGGGGGGCGAGGAGGGCTGGATTAAAAAAATTTTAACGCGCGTAGTTTGGTTTATGTTTACCGCACTGAATTGTCAGATCAAAATTCAATTTTGCAGTATGAAGGTTTTTATATCGGGAAGGTAGTGTGTCTTAAAATGGCACTTTGCGTCTCTTTTGTGGGTAGACAATTTAGCCAGCGTAGTATGTCGCCTAACTTTAGGGCCTTTAACGTGGTTCTCGTTATAGTGATAGAGTGCTTACTATCACAACGTTACCAGGGATGGCTTACAGTTCAGCTGCTATCCACAACTCAAGCAACGCGGACGGTCGAAGTGCTCGAATCGTGAAGCCGGCACTAATTCCACAATGGTCAATAACTGTTCAAAAGAAATCTTGCGACTCATCCAGGCTAAAGCACGAAGCTCTCAAGTTAGGGTCCAAGAGTCATGTGCAGCCCAATGATAGCACCTCGAGGTATCTGGGGGCAAGCACTTGGCATCATAAAGTCATTCCCTTAATGGTGGAATTAAACCGAGGGCTCGCGAGCTCCGACCCCGATCCTTTGACATGAATGGCGTTGCTGACAAGTTGCAATGTAGAGTATAAGACGCAATTACGCGCAAAATTACGTTTTCGCACGAGGTCTCCAACATATTTACACCTTTTGTGCATAACCATGTCAGAGGTCAAAGGTCACAATTAAGGAGGTACGATGCAATTACATGCGTCATGGAGTCTTGAAGGCGAATCTTGTGTCACCGATGATGATCACGTGACTGGTTGTAGTACATGGAAGTCAAAAAGATAAATTACCGCACCGAAAGAAAAAAAAAAAAAAGAAGAAAACAGCCATTTTAAGAGCCGTTCCGCGGTGGGATATTGTCTGCCATTTTTCGCGCTTACGAAAGACGTCGGCTCCACTTCATGGGACCAGTTAATGCATACGCATTAAAGGGCTTCGACAAGAGGAAAAAAGATGAGCGAGCAAAGATATGCGCATAAGAAAGTGCAGTATATGCAGAATTGATAATACAGCACACGAATTCGTAAGGACGAGTTTAGGCACCTCTTTTACGTGACTGTGAGCGAATGCCACACCTGATCTATAGTCCCTTTAAGATACGACTCCACGCACGACTGCCGTCTTCGGAATAGGCACGCAACTTTAGCTCCCAGACTGCTCCGGTATGAAGAACCGTATTCTTCATAGCCACGGCCATGCTCCGTTTCGCCTTATACGACGGACCGTCTCAGACGTTACAAGTCATCCCAGTCAATCTAGTGCTGTAAAACGGATCACGTGGCTACGCGCCTCGCGTGTTGGTTTGCGCTCCTCCCGAAGTTCTCATTGAACTGACTTTGATGGCTCATAGTGCGCACAGCGGTCCGACATAAGACCAAACGAAGTATAGCCAGCTGCCTCATCTGAGGTTTAAGCTTGTTCACGAGTATGAGTAAACCTGACAGCATTCCCGATACTAAGGAGGGAAGCAGTTCAAGGTATTTTTTTTAGATCTCATACCTTTATTTATGACTCTTTTTTTTAAAAGTGAATGTGAGAGAGGTACGATGAAAGCCCGTACGTTGACAGTACATCGAAGCAGGACCGAGGTATACACCTTCGGATTGCACCTCCATCTCCGCTCTTCCTTAACTTGTGGACTGAAAGAAAATAGTTAAAAACGAACGAAGGCCCGATTACTTGCATAAGGACGTCTATATTATGAGGCAGATTCAGCCTGTGTGGATAACTGTTTTGTCTATGAAAGAATTGAGTTCATTAGGAGCACGGTAGTTGCTTTTACTGATTCGAGGTTTCTTTCGTCATTTTTATGTTTCCGCCGTGCGAAGAAGCCGGCTAGACGATCACGCTTCATGTTCGTAGACTTCGGCATAAAAAACAAGAAAACAACATCATGCAAATATATTGTGGTGGTTAAGACGATCCAGTTGGTTATACATTAGACACACTTAGGGAGATAATATAAACGAACGGAGATATGACTGCCATATCACTGGCCAGTTGCGAGTTATGTTTGTCCGCCCGTTTATGTTCTCTCCCTAAAAACATGTGCGTGAAGTTTTGATCTCAGCAATTACTTTTTATTAAGCAACAGCGCTTCCCTTTTATTTTGAACTTATATTTGTCGATTATTCTCATCCTCAGGTCGGGGAACTGTGATATCGGTACAGGAATGTGTTGTATTAGAATGATGTGCTTTCCATAGTGCTGGCTCAAAGAGGTACCGCAACTGAAATATGTTCGTGGCCGCGCGGTAACGATAAGCGCCAACATGCCAGAGTCGTGGCATTAGGGAAGATCTTGGCAAATCTCCTCCTTAAAAAAAAGAAAAAAAAAGAAAAAGGAGTGCACGTTTTACATAAGATTTCCTTACTTCGTGGCCGGTGAAAAGCCGAGTAAAAACCGCTGAGTTATGATTGGACTAAAGGAACTGAGAGACTTTGTGATCGAGCTCAGTTGAGTGTAGAAATAGGTATAAGAAAGTGCGCACACTGACGGTGATGACGCTGTAAACTAACTTGCGTTAGCGAAATCAAGAACAGTTTTTTCCCTTGCTTTTATGCAGTGCCATGACGCATTTATTTCTGCTTTATATTTGTTCTGTGAATGGTCAAAGGTGGCAAATAAAATGTCGAAAACCTAATGAGCACTATTCTGCTGATGCTATGACAATAAATTTATCTGAGCGTCTTCGAGACTAATCAAACTCTTGTCGTGCCTACTTTTTTTTTCGGTATGGTTCAATGTTATTCGAAACAAATTTAATTTTCAAAAAATTCATTTTTTTGTCTTTTTGTAAAAAAAAAATGTATATATATATATATGGACGCCAGGCAAGGATTGCAAGATGGTTTGAAAGGTGCTTATTTTGTTTGGCATCTTTTTTGCGTGTGTGTTCGGTACAATGCATGCAATGGAATGAATTTGCTGTAACACAGCCAGTCCACTTTCGTAGAAACGCGGGATTTTAGATAAAACCACCACCACCACCACTACCCCCACAACCACCACCAACGTCATTATCATCATCATCATCGTCGTCGTCATCATCCTTATTATCATCGGGGACGCGAAATGACTACTTGCCATGGGCGCCGTCACCCCTAAGTACACCACTGCCTGGGAGAGCCAACCGCAGCAATGAACGGAGGAGGAGGAAGCTTAGCGAGTGACGAGGCTCAAAATATATTTAGACATAACAATCTACGTTGTGTCACTGAGCAGGACGCGTCATCATGTATTGGCTCGGCCAAATTATCATGATAGAACACCTAAGATAGTGGCATGGAAAAATCAGGAAACTTTCTAGCCGAAGGAAAAGACAAGAGTAAAAGAATATCTCAAACTCAGCTAACTTCATTCATTTTTTTCGTCCCTTATACACCCGATCCTGACATCACCGACCTCCACACGGACACACTCTTTGTGGACACAACGACGAATGGCCTTTTAACAGCAACACCTTTATATCAAGTGCTTTGAGCCGAACTAGACGCTTCGGATATCTTAGTAGAAGCTGAAGAAAAATAATTTCTTCACAATTTTGGGAAGCGAGTTCGTACCTCTTTAAGTGTTTCCAGAAATCCCTATAGAGGCAGTACTTTTTTCAGATGCTGCCGTCTTGCATTGCGCTGCTGGGGCTCATGCTGTCGACTTTCCCGGCTACCAGCGCAGCCGTTTCATCGACGTCGGCGAGTCCAACTGCGACGAAAGACATGGAGGCCAAGGAGTCATCAAAGTCCCTCGTGACTCTCACACCTCCTTCGATCACCCATTCTGCGGTGAGGTCCTTCAGTTTGTTTCATGCTAATCACCCCAAGGTTCTTGCAATAGCATGCATGCCAGGTTGTGCCACCTTTATGTAGGAATTGGCGAAGTCCGTTATTAACAAAAATTGGGTTATAGGGCTGTTATATGAGAAGTCACACGTACGCTCGAGTGCTAAGCTCGACCAACACACAGGCCAAGGTCATTTCGCTTGTATGACGTTGACGTATGGATGTCATATTGTCACGAAAAATGAGGTGATGAAACAAAGAATGACTGAGGAGACAAAAACATTTAATGTGGCGAACTTGTGCCCAAAACCAAAAAGGAAACAGAGAATAACAACAGAGCGTCGCGGGCGTCGAAGTCGGCGTAACAGCAGGATCGAACGCTGGGGCGAGACTGATCCCGAACCGCCACGCGGGGCACCTTTTGTACCCGCGGAGGTTTCTGGAACGTTCGGCGAAGAGCATTTGGAACTCGATCAGACGAGAAGTTCTCGAACTGGCGATAATGTCGAGTTGAAAAAATAAATAAAAGAGAAGTCCGCTCACTGGAATCGAATCCGGAGCCTCCGCGTGATAGCCAAGCGCGATAACCATTCGCCCACACCCTCGTTCGGCAATGCGCACGGCAATATGACGCTCTAACGTCAAGGTGTCACGTGATGTCATAATATCACGTGCTACCATGATGTCACGTGACGTCGTGGTGCTACATAAAAGCCATTACGCCGCGTGACGTCACGAGGTCAGATTACTTTAAGATGTCACCTGACGTCATACGCGCACAATGTGCCCAGCTCATTCTCAACACATTTTGTGCGCCTCCGAGTTTATCAGTCATGATCGAGACGTGCTTAAACTTTCAATTATTACATTTCAATCGTGTCATAGAAGCGAGCCAAATTAGATTCAGTCTGGCAAGTGAAAATCCCTAGAATGTTACCACCTCAAATCTGTGGATCGCCATCTATGAATAAAAGCTTATGAGAAAAAAACAAAAACAAAAAAACCCGAGGATAAAAAAGAAATTGAAAATAGACGCGTGAAGTGCCTGCCTTCCTCGGTACAGCAAAGTTTACGTTTCGGTGCTATTGGCAATTTTCATCACTCGTTTTTTAACCTACTTTCAAAGCTTCTGCTTTAGACCGCCGGGCTCTGTGAATATCTGATTCACTCGAGAAGGCTGCCGAGCGAACCTACCACCACAGCTTTTTTCTTCTAGGCGTTAGGTGCCTTCGATTTGGCTGGAGTCGTTAGAAGTTACACTGACCTCGAAACAAGGAACGACAAAACGTATTGATTATGTGCTGTAATACTCAATGAACGCAAAATACGAGGGCGGACTGGATACAAGAACGCGTAACAAACTCGAAACAAGCACATTATGTTGTCCGTATGTCTTGCCTATACAGGGTGTGCAATTTTATTTCGAACAGAAAAAAAGGAGAGCTAGAGTAAGGCGATTTTTCTCTTCACCAAGCATTTAGCAGGCTCGACGGACAATAGATGAGGGTATAATCGTCAGGGTAAGATAACTAATTAATTAAAATCTAATCATTACCTTTTTAAGTATAGGGTTTAGCGGTCATGGTGAAATTGCAGTATTGACGGCGATCACTATTAGAGGCCACACACATGTAAAAAGTCTGCGAAAATGTATACGTGTTCTTGAGATATTATTCGACTAAGGTTTGCGTCTCTTCTCCCGGTTTAAAAATTGCACTCCGTGAGTGCATTGCACGCCCTGCCCACAATGACGCTTGGAAGACTGACGTCGTCGTTTCAATCATGTCGCCACTATCTCGGCAGCGTGTCCTTGGTGAATGCGCCGACGACGCAAGTGACGATGTCACCTAGACGACTACGTCACTCTTCCAAGCGTTGTTGTGCGCAGGGCTTCATGCACTCTTTTTGCCTGAAATATCTGAATAATTGCGAACATTAAAAGTAAATTATATAGTCTTAGCCTTTGTTGGACCTAAAAAAAAAGCACTCGAGACTGTGCAGCACGAAATATTATTGCAAGAAATTGATATATACGACCTACAGGGAACTGCACAAAAACTAGTAAAAGGTTCTTTGATAGATTAGTAACAATATGTAACTATAAATATAGAAAAAAAATATCCTCTTCATACTCAAATATACAGCCTGTTGTTCTCCATTGATGGGGTAAATCTTAGGTCCCTTATTATTTGTAATACCGTATTTACTCGCACAATGAACGCACTCGCGTAATAAACGCACCCCCCAAGTCGGCTCTCAAAATTTCGACTTTTTTTCACTCGCGTAATAAACGCACCCCGAACTCAGACGTCAAAATTTTGACCACCTCCCCCGACGCGCGCGAAATGAACGCACTTTTCTATCCTGGTGCAGCGAGGTCGCGAATGCATTGGCAGCGTGGACGAACAAAACGCCTTGCCAAAAGGCGTTAAAAATTCGCAAAGATCCAACGGAAGCAAGAAAAAAAAAACATTGAGAGGAGGTTTTTTTTTTTTTTGCACAGCGCAGTCTGGATTTTGGTTTCGCGCGCCGCCGCGCGCAAGGAGGTAAGAAAGAGAAGCGCGAACGAAACAGCTTGCGAAAGGCGGCAAAAAGAAAAAAAAAAACCACCGAACTAAGAGAAAACAAAACCAACGAGGAGGTTTTTTTTTTCTTTTTTTTCTTTCTTGCACAGCGCAGTTTGGTTTCGGGGGGGGGGGGGGGGGGGGGGTTCGCTCGCCGCGCGCAAGGAGGTAAGAAAGAGGAGCGGAGAAGCCCTTAAAGGCCGCTGTACAAACGAGACGTTCTGCAGGGAAGAACCTTCTCTCCCGAAGCTGGAGACGGGGAGGGAAAGGGGCAGCGTTGGGTGGAAAGGGCGTCTAGAGAATGGAGATTAGCCCCGGGGCGAGCCAACCTCTCGAGGGGGAGTGGGGACGGAACAAAGCTGCCGTGGGGGTTCCGGCTACCAGGTGGAAGATAAGCTTGTCAAACGGCGACCTCGGATGTGAGGACGGGCACGTCAGAGAATTTGAAAATAGCTGCTTTATTAGCCGGAGGACCCAGTGCGGTCTACTGGCTCTAGTAGGTGACTCGGATGAAGAAAACTCGTTTTGCTCCAAAGCTCTAAAAGCATTCTGGAACGTGAACTGTTGCCACAAATAAAAATAACACATACATGAAAAACTACGAAGGCACCTAAGCTTTCTCCTATGATGTGAGAATGCGGGAGCATTACAGGCAGAGTTATGTTGGCGCAACTTGCAAAAAAGAAGGAAAAAAAAAAGTTATGTTGGCGCAACTAAGCGCAACGAATAGCGCGCTAGTTTCACGATCAAGAGGGCCTAGCTTCGAAACCGGGCAGGGGATGGTTTTTTTCTCGTGTTCTTTTTCTATTTCGTTTATTTTTTTTTTGTTCGGTCACGTGACAATAAAAATCACATGAACAGAATTTTTTTGGGCCACGTCACCAGAGATTTTTTTTTCTTATTTCTCCTTTTCTTCTGTCTTTTTTTCCCCTTTTTTTTCGGCTTACGCTCCCTTTTGCAAAACTCTTTGCACCTATTTCGCGTTACTTTGGCGTCACCCAAATCATTTTATTTATGGCAGGGAATTCTGCCGTACGTACAGGTCCCGTCAAAGTAAAACGGAGCGCCGGAGCGGCAACCGAACTGCATCGCCGCGCTATCTAGCAGCGCCGGCTGGAACTGATAGGTGCCGTCTGCGCATGCGCGCGTGTGTTCGCGGTGTCCTTCGTTTTCTTGTTTGATCCTCGCATTATTGGCGTCTCGAGCTGCCAAACTCTATTCCGATAAACACCGCTAGGTGTTCGACTCACACTCGTAGATAACGTTGACTGCAAGTGGGAAAGGGCCAGTGTTGTCAATGAGCACCGCCCCTTGTGCTATCAGGCGTCGATTTGAGGAAAATCGTTGCGCCGCTCGAACCACCGATAACGTGTGGGTCGGAAGAAGGAAACGGAGGCCCCAGCGGAAGGCACGTGCGCATGCGCAGATGTAGCCTATCAGTTCCAGCCGGCGCTGCCAGATAGCGCGGCGATGCAGTTCGGACGTCGCTCCGGCGCTCCGTTTTACTTTGACGGCACCTGTACCTTATGTTACTATTACCAACCCTGGCTTGCAATACGCATAGAGAATTTCGTCCGGCAACCAGTTTGGGAATGACGAGGCCAAATTTGTGCTATAATTTATTTGAGGTCTAAGCATAATTTCAGCCTCGTTATCGGTCGGTCTCTATGATTGGCTTTTCAAGTATCTTTTGGGAAGGCAGACGACTGGCATTTTTAGAGTGCACGTGTGTCGACCAGAGTGAACATTGCTGAAGCGCCTCCAGTGTGATTTTGGCCGTAAATAACTGGACGCCCCGGGCAAACCCACTCAATATAGAAAAGTATCTACTTTCTGGTTTCATAGAGAGCTACGAAAGGGACGAATCCCAGCCGAGTCAAACTACCGGCTTGCAAACGCAATCGTGTTGACAATAGCTCCAAGGAGTTTGTATGACTCTCTCTGGCGGTGTGCAGAGGGTAAAGGCACGGAGGTAATATGCTTTCACCTAGTCACCTCGCAAACGGTCGGGTAATGGCTGCAGAGATTCATTTCGCTTTGTTTTATCACCGGGATTATAGCTTGATTTCTGTGTTCCTAATTTCACAGACAGAACGAAATCGCTTTTCTCGTGTGGCGTCACGGCGGTGAGACAGAAATCAATCAGTCCACCGGAATTCGACGCTTGTGCTCGTTCTATAGCGCTTCTAAAAACCGTGCGATCACGGCTGTGCAACGTCAACAATGCATAAACTGCAGTTACTTGTACTCGTATTGCATCGTAAGGGAACGACTATGACTGGGTAAACAGGAATAGGGAGAATGGGTGCGTGTGATTTGTTGATGTTCGAATCAACAAATCAAGCTTCAACGAATGCGATAGTATTGCATTCACTCAACCAGCTATATGAGCTTTCAGACGGTATATACCTTCCAAGTATGCGAATCGTGTTCTGCCAGTGATACCTCAGCTAAATTAAAAAGCAAAATCCACGTTGAAAAAAAAAAAAAAAAGTTTACGGTGACTCGAGCCGCTCCCGCGCCGAATCATGTTTCACGTAAGCGTGGTCTTGGGGTCGATGCACGACGAGGGGTCTTCAATCATAAAAATAGTTTGATTACGATTATTGGCAACGCTAAAAATTTGAAAGCCAAGCAGTGAAGACAACGGTGTTCTTATAAATATTATATACATTTTATTTTACACTGTTTGAATACGATGCCGTCGTTATGTTCTTGAATTATTGGCTAGCTTGTGGCGGACAGGGAAATCTTGCAGGACCGTATGATAGGACCTACACTAAACCTGCCGCGCTTCGAAAAATTTTACTCCAATGCATACAAGCTTGTTGAAGGCGGACGGAGCGTTGCGCATCCGGCAAAGCGCATTCAATCGCTGCCCGCGGCGTTTTTTTTTTTTTTTTTTTTTTTTTTTTTTTTTTTTGTGAGGGGGGGGGGGGGGGCAGCGAAATAGTTTAGTCAAGCAGCAGGCCCCCTCTTCAGCGGGTTAGGCCGGATTAACCGGAGGCGTCTCCTAATCCATTCTCCGTGTTGTCCCCTCGGGGGAGGGTGGTAAACAGGTGGGGGAGGGCGGTGAAGGAAGGAAAGGAGGACAGGAGAGGAGGAAACGCAGAAAAAGTGGAAAGCGCGAACTGTACGGCGGCCTTTAAGAAAACAAAACAGCTTGCGAAAGGCGACAAAAAAAAAAACAAAAAAAAAAAAAACACGGAACTGAGACAAAGACAAAAAAGGAGCTTTTTTTTCTTTCTTTTTTTTGCACAGCGCAGTTTGGTTACGAAGGGTCGTGCGCCGCGCGCAAGGAGATAAGAAAGATAAGCGGAGAGCCCTCGCCTAAGCAACGCCTAAGCAAAAAAAAAAAAAAACAGCCTGCAAAAAGCGGCAAAAAAGAAAAAAAAACCAAGGAACTAAAAAAAAAAACACAAAAAGCAGTTTTTTTTATTTTTTATTTTTTGCACAGCTTAGCTTGGTTACGGGGTCGGGCGCCGCGCGCAAAGAGATAAGAAGTTACTTCGATTTTTCAGGATAAAAGGTCCGTTCATTATGCGAGTAAATATAGACGCAAAAATTTTACTTCGCATAATGAACGCTCCCCCCAACTTTGCATCGATTTTTCGGAAAAAAAAGTGCGTTCATTCTGCGAGTAAATACGGTATGTATAAATGATCTGATAAAAATACCTGGCCTCCAGGAAGTAATAATGTACGCTGTGATACTAACATAATCTTTAGTAAAAATCAAGACAAAATATAAAACTAGCTGCAAACTCTTACTTCATGAAACTGTCTCAATGGTTATAAAGGAAATATATTTCAATTAAATTCAAACTAAGCAAAATTCATAATGTTGAAATCAGTAAGTAAACGAGACGATGATAGCATTAACATAAAATTTGAAGGCTTAGAACTGGAGAAAGTTAGCGAGAAAAATGTTGTGTGGTTTGATTTAGTGAAGAATTGTCGTGGAGTAGTTATATTGGCAAGTGACAAGGTGACCTGTCCAAAACTATAGACATACTGTATAAAACCAAGAATCTTATCCCGAGTTCCCTTCTTATAAATATGTATTACCCTTTATTTGCTTCAAAACTAAGCTACGGAATTTTGGTAGCTTAGTTTTGAAACTAATTTTGGTTTCTTAATTTTGGTAACTTCTTTAAATTATGATACCTTATTAGTCCTTAAAATAAAAGTTTTACGCATGCCCGAGGACTACAAAGGGTACGATAAGAATCTGCGTACGGATCCTCTGTTTTTTAAACACATAAAAAAAGCTTAAATTTGGTAACTGCGTCAAATTATAACACCTTATTAGTCCTTAAAAATCGTTTTCCGCGTGCCCGAGGATTTCAAAAGGTATTATAGGAATCTGCGTACGGAACCTCTGCTTTTTAAACACATAAAAAAAGCTTAATTTTGATAACTATGTCAAATTATTATACCTTAGTGTCCTTGAAATAAAATGTTTACGCATGCCCGAGGACTACAAAGGGTATAATAGGAATATGCGTACGGAACCTCTGCTTTTTAAACACATAAAAAAAAGCTTAATTTTGGTAAATGCGTCAAATTATAATACCTTATTAGTCCTCAAAGTAAAAGTTTTGCGCACGCACGAGGACTGCAAAGGGTACGATAGGAATCTGCGTACGGTATTTCTGTTTTTAAACGCATAAAAAAAGCTATTTTTGGTAACTGCGTCAAATTATATTACCTTATTAGTCCTAAAAGTAAAAGTTTCATGCATCCTGAGGACTACAAAGGGCATGATAGGAATCTGCGTACGGAACCTCAGTTTCTTAAACACATAAGAAAAGCTTAATTTCGGTAACTGCGTCAAATTATAATATCTATATTAGTCCTTAAAATAAATGTTTTACGCATGACCGAGGACTACAAAGGGTATGATAGGAATCTGTGTACGGAACCTCTGTTTTTAAACACATAAAAAGGTTTAATTTTGGTAACTGCGTCAAATTATAATACCTTATTAGTCCTTAAAGTAAAAGTTTCATGCATCCCGAGGACTACAAAGGGCATGATAGGAATCCGCGTACGGAACCTCTCTTTCTTAAACACATAAATAAAGCTTAATTTTGGTAACTGCGTCAAATTATAATACCTTATTAGTCCTTAAAATAAACTTTTCACCCGTGCCCCATGACTACAAAGGGTATGATAGGAATCTCCGTACGGAACCTCTTTTTCTTAAACACATAAAAAAAAGCTTAAATTTGGTAACTGCGTCAAATTATAATACCTTGTTAGTCCTTAAAGTAAAAGTTTCATGCATCCCGAGGACTACAAAGGGCATGATAGGAATCTGCGTACGGAACCTCTTTTTCTTAAACACATAAATAAAGCTTAATTTTGGTAACTGCGTCAAATTATAATACCTTATTAGTCCTTAAAATAAACTTTTTACCCGTGCCCCATGACTACAAAGGGTATGATAGGAATCTGCGTACAGAACCTCTTCTTCTTAAACACATTAAAAAAAGCTTAAATTTGGTAACTGCGTCAAATTATAATACCTTATTAGTCCGTAAAGTAAAACTTTTACGCATGCCTGGGGACTTTAGCAACATGTACTCTACATATTTTGTTCATTGACCCTAGTACAAACTTGTGTATAACTCATGTGTTTTAGACTCTTGGACTATTCCGTGAAAATAGTTATAATTCTTATGTTTTTAGAGTTTTTAGGCTATTGTATCTTGATTATTTGGTTGTTTTGATTTTGATTTGATTTGGCTACTGAGCCTATTTAAAATTTCTGCATAATGTGCTTTTTGTTTTTGTTTTTCTCTGTCTTATATCTGTCTGTCGCCCACTGTGTAACAAGCTAGGGGACTAGGCTTCGTCAGGCACTGGCGCCTTTTGCCGTAGGCCCCAACTGCGGAATAAGAATCCGCGGGCGCAAATCGAGAGAAAATACATCGGCGGAAAGAACGTAAATATTGTTGGATTAATATCTACGAAGAAATCTTTTCGCAAAATGTCTAAATTAGTCAGGCCTTTAACAGTAGTTGACGCGTCAATAATGCATCCGACATTACCCCAAAAATTAATAAAGAAAAGTTAAATAAATCGTTTTAGTTAATTAGTCAACTTTGGATGACAATTATATTCTCATATACTCTCCACCCAGCTTGATAAATATTTGGTGAGATGGAACTCGTCAAATTCTTACTCCTTAAAAAAAAAAGTCTCTGGGAGTATTTACGTCTGTCCCATCTTCGTTTTTTTTTCTTGTTAGTCTTCTTAACCCCTTAATCACCTCTTTCATTTCAACTGTGCGTTTTGATTATTAGCTTGCACGAATTAACTCAATGTTTTAATTCTAAGCAGTCACGTCGCAAGACCTTTACTATGTACATATTGAGCTTTTGTTGTGCTCAACCGGAACTGGCCCGCCCTCTCGTTGATGCTTTTTAGTCAGCTGTTGATCCTGTAAATAAATAAATTGCTTAAAGTATTTTTATGGTCTCAATAATGTTTACACAATTTTAGTGTTGCTTTCGCCCCCTTTCTAATAACTTCTATTCATTTGCTTAGTCAAGTCGTGACTCTCTTTCAGTCTTACCAGTACGGCTACGAGGTGGGCACAGTGGACTCAACGCTGTTCAAGGGCCAGGCGAAAGAGCAAGGCGGGTTGACTCGTGGCACGTACGCCTACAAAGACGACAGCGGGCAGTACCGACAGGTAGAGTATGTTGCCAACGAGAACGGATACCGGGCCAGCATCAGCGCGAAAGGCCCCAAATCGGCAGGCAACCGAGTCAAAAATTTGTCGCTCTCTAACTCTGACTCTCGAAAAACCCAGGTGGAAGACAAGGCCCCGACACCGACGGCGGCGACCTTCACCACGCAGACGGATTCGGTGTTGCAGAAGCTCAAGCAGAGCGACAAAGCGCAAGTCTTCTTCGAACCCAAGGCCCCAACTAAGGAGGAGGCGTCTTCCCTTATCACCAGCTACGAAATTCCGCGCGCGTCCGCGATTCCAAAGAAGGGTCAAGCAAACAATGGCGAGGCGACATCCAACGCTCCGCCTAAACCTGCTTTCTTCGATCAACCGGCTAAAGTAGAAAGGAAAGTAGTGGTCACTTCTGGAGGCGGAGGATCCCTGCCTCTGACGCAGCGGCAGCAGAAACGAGTCACCGTCATCCACAAGTCTACTCATTCGGAGCAATCTTCGGACAAATCTAGGTCGTCACCGAGAACATTTACGAAGACATTCAGGGGTCCGCAGTACCGGCCGACGCTCAGACCGCAAGTTAGGTACAGAACAACGTCACCCCCATCCAACGTAGACTATGACTTTAAGACAAGCCACAAAAGTGAAGGCCCGAGACAAACTACTCAGGACAATGGAGAGCAACAGCAAGGCCAGTCACTCACAACTGAAGAAAGTTACACGCAAGAGCAGCGTTCAAACAGCAGAACGTACAGCAAACAACGGCTTCATCACAGAGAAAACACTGGAAAGGCGTATGAGGTAAGAACACCTCACGCGACACAATACATGAGCTTCGGGGACGTCAGCAAGGAGTCCCATCACCCAGCAATTCATAAACCTGAAGATTCAACACAAACCCAGCAGTACCCGGATCAAACTTCAAAGCAATCCGGGTACAAACCTTACACCTCCTCACCATCATACGACACAACTGTATCAGGACAACAGAACAAAGACGGGGGAGGAGGGAACTACGGGGGAACGTCTCAGCAGGGTTCGTACTATAACCAGGGCTACAGCGGTCAGAACGCTGGAGATCAAAGTGTTACTGTCGGAGCAACTACGAAGGTATCAGGATACAACCAAGATTATCAAGCAGGCTACCAAGGAACGAATACACGCAATGATCAATACGAATACCACCGAGGAACAGCTTATCCGGCACGAGTCAGCGACAACTCGCAACAAACACAAGGAACGTCAACAAAATCGAATTCTTACAAGACAGGATACCAGGCGAATGACCGGGTAAACACAGGACAGTATCAAGATACGAACCCCGGTTCCTCTCAACAAGGATCATATCAGTCACAATCCTACAGCACCAACTCCGAGCCACCTCAAGGCCTAATAGAAGCGTTGCCAAAAGCGTCCTATTTTAAATCTGACTACCAGTCTAATAACAAGCAGCAATCTACGCCACGGCCGCAGACATTTAAGCCCAGTTATCAAGCCTACAAAGAAAAGAACACTCATCAAGGCAGCAACGGTCAAAATCAAAACGTCGGTAGCTATACGAGAAGTTCAAGTGGCGCCGGCAACTATAGGTTGGAAATCAATCACGGGAGCAATAAACAAGCCCAGAACGCCCCAGCTCAGAGCAGCCATTACCAACAGGCACAATCATTATCGCAAAGTCAAACGCCAACGAATAGTCAGACAGCCAGCAAACAGCAAACAGCTCAGTATTCGAAGCCGGCGCCACCTCCACTTCGCAACCTGCCCGTTACTCACAGGCCACAAGTTCAACAGGGGGCGCAACAGATATCGGTGCCACCACCACCACCTACCCCAGCACCCCAAGACGCGCAGGTACTCCTCGTAGAAATCAACAATCAACAAGGGCAAGCTCATATACAAGCTCAACAACTCAATGCCCAACAGCAGGCTCAACTGTTTCAGCAGCGCCCGTTTAATCAGCTATTTCAAAACCAACAAACTATTCCACTTGAACAAGCGTTACAGTTCTTCAACAATGGACAGAACCAAGGCTTTAGAGTTCCAATAATTGAAATGGGTGCCCCGTTGATGGGGAACCTGGCTCAATCGCCCAACTTTTTCGACATCAGACAGCAGATTCAGCAGCAATTGCAGCAACAGCAACACCAGGCCCAGCAGCCGTTCCTTTTCGGAAGACCCGATGCCCTCCAGCAGATGCTCAAACAGCAGCAGCAACAGCAGTTCTTCATGCCTCAAAACCAAGGCTTCCAGAAAATCATAACGCAAGGCCCAGTGCCAATTGAGCTGAAAGTGGAGCCCCTTTACGACATGAACAAAGGAGCGGGACATAATATCGGCATCAAAGACGTTCGCGTGCAAGCCCTGAAGCCTATCAAGCTCCCATTGCAAGGACAAGTTCAAAGCGGGGGTCAAAACTCCGGTCAATCTTCAAACAATGGCATGCCGTACGAAGTCAGCATGCTCGTTGATGCCGCCAAAAAGGCTCTGATGTCCACTGGAGCTTTCCCCAAGCAAGAGGTTTTCGTTGTAGATGCTTCTCAGGTAAAGCCATTTACGCCATCCTCATAAAGCTTTTTTTTTTCATTTGCATAAAAATTAGCTTGATTCTTGTTTGGCTTAGTCATATACATATCTATAAGTCAGAGAATCTGTACACCATATCATACTTTACTTTGCGCGGCTCCCTGTATGTGCGACATTTCTTATTTGAAGATTGTCGGAACTTCATATATTATCTAACGGAAACTAAACGACAGCTTAATTCTAGAAAACATTTGTCTACGGTCGAATATTTTACCCATATAGCCACAATAGAAAACAATTTCTCTGGACTAACACCGATTCCAATGCGGGCCTAAACTGAGGGAGAGGAGGAAACGAGAGGTCGCGGGGACGCTAAAATGCCGAGCTCTGACTGGAATGGTTAATGGCAAGAGGCAAAGCTTTTGTTTTCACTGCACTGTTCGAACACGTTCGAAAGCCAACGTCAAACGCCGGACGACGGCGTTCAGCGTTCTAGCGCGTTCGACGAGCGCAGTGGAGACAAAGGCTTTGCCTCTACCCACTAATCATTCCAGTAAGAGCTCGGCGATCTGGCGTCGCCGGAAGCTCTCGTTTCCTCCTCTCCCTCGCTTTCTGCCCACCTAAAGATGTGCGCTGGTTTGGTGTGTGCAAATCGTAAGAATCAGAGTCATCTTCCATCCAACAGTTGTCAAGTTTCCACGGTGGTGCTAATCGCCATTTTCTGGACACACCCTAAAACTGTATCATATGAATGAACACTGCAACTGCTGGGCATCGTCGAGTCACTAAAGGGGCTGGAGCACAAGGAAGTCAGCCGTGCAACTAAAGACAGTTTGATATTGAGTACACAGGTAGTGTACTTGAACATTTTATATTAGGCACGAGTTATTTCGTTCTCGTAAAGCCCGATTCGGTTTGTGCCTCAGTGACTTGGCAATGATCTGTGCGTTATAGTAGGGTGTCCAGACGTCCCGTTTTTTGACGGGATTGTCCCGTTTTAGAGGTCAATTTTTGCCGTCCCATCATTTTGTCCTAATAATAGCCAAGTGTCCCGTTTTCGTGGGAACTTGCTTGCGAAATTAGTACCAGGGAGTGGAAGAAAATTTTTTTCATTCGTAACAGTGTATTGGAATAAATATGGCATAAAAATGTCATCTCGAACAAAGTATGATGTTTAGCTTTTCTGTGGCTCTACTTGCCAATAAGTTATGTTCGCACAGACGTGTGTGCAGGGCACGTTTCCATTTAGTGCACGCTTAAGTCATGCAAAATAAATATGAAAGGCGAATGTACTCAACTACCCAAAGAAAAGGCTCAGAAAAATTTGGCGTTTGCGGCTGAATAGTAGCAGGATTTTTCTTTATTTCTCTATCACTTTGCCCCCCACCCCCCTAACCCCCCTGCTCTATTTTCCTTTCTTCCCCTTCCCCTTGATGTCCCGTTTTCAACTGTGACGAGTATGATCACCCTAGTTATGTTTTTTTTTTTTTTTTTTACGTAAAAATAACGTTTTATCGTACATTTTCTAGGGTGGCCAACTTCCGTATAACGTTCTGCAAGCGATTCAGCAAGCAGCGATAAGAGACTCGCCAAGGGGTGGAGGCGATGGGGGCGGTCATCAGTCCAAGGACTCTGCCCACATACACCAGCAACAAAAAGTCAACCTTGGGCAGGCGTTTCCGGGAGCTACGAGCGTTAAGGTGAACGACAAGATGAACGTCCAGGTGGCGGGACTCTTGGTCAACAACCAGGGCCTGTTTCCTAAGCATCTACTGCAAGGCATCGGAACATCTCAGCTTCGTTTCAACGAACCTCTCAATGTGCACATCCCGATCGGCGAACTTCCACCCCGACCAGCCGTCAATGTTCGCATCAAGGGGCCAGACGGAAAGATCTCTCAAGTGCTGGTGCCTCTTCACGACGCCGTGAGTACACCTTGAATATTTAGTGAACCTTGAATATTTAGTGACATGGGGGAGCAGGACTCAGAATTGTAATGAAAACTAACCCTGGGGAAAAGAAGATGCAGCAGACAGATAATTTCTTTGTTGCAGTTTTGCAAATTACTATACTTAGTTTCAGCTCAGCTCCGAGCGCAGCCAAAGGCTGGGGGACGGTTAACCACTTGGAAAGGAGCGTTCGTACGCATCTCGAAGTAGTTCGCAAAAGTAAAAGTTTAGAAATACTTTGTTCGTGTGCAAACATTGGACAATTTTTCAGTTGTATTCTGCTAAAAACTAATTATAAAAAATGTGAAATAAATTACGTTCTCTGTTTTTTTATAATATAGTAATGAAGATGCTTCGACCAAAAACAGCTTCCTGCTGGCAACACTACTACTACTAAACTTTGTTTTCCGTTTTTTTTTGTGTTTTCAACGGCCAAATTGTGGGCTTCAAGTTCGACGCTTTCCTCGCCAAGTTTGTTTTCTGTTTTCCTAATTTCCGCCGACAAAGCAAGATAAAAAAAAAAAAATAGACGCACGTTTGGTCGTCAGGAGGGACTTCGTGATGAATTTGCATTCTTCTTCGTCAGGAGTCCGAAGCCACGTCGTACAGCGGAATTGTTTATCGAACACCGGAGCTAACAGACATTGGGAAATCGAGGTAAACGTGATCCGCCGACGGCGTGAAACGCTCTCCAATGAAAAACGGATAAAAATCCGGTGTCGAAACAGCTGTCAGAGGCGAAACCGTGCGGTGTCGGTGGAGCGCCGAGAAAAGGCGTACTCCAGTGCGACCGGAGTGACGTAGTATGCTTTTAATGCTGTTATGCGTTTGCGGAAAGAGCGCGCTGCTTTGTTCGATATCGGACATAGGGCGACAGTATACCCAGAAAGCTCGCTCAACCCGCTTTTTCCGTGGGCTCCGGGCGTCACCGCGGCGGAGGATGACCCGTCTGGGCACCGAGCGTTACCAACTTCCGTATTCCAGCCACGGCCTTCCTCTGCTGGCAGTGCGACGGCCCTCCACGAAGCCCAGCAGCCACCGCACTGAACCAAAGTTTTATTCCAGGGCGCGAAATGGCATTTTTGATTATGTAGCAGACGATGCCGTTGCAACTCCAGTAGCAGACGAAATGTCTCTCTTCGACTCCTCTGCACCTCTGCGCAGATTCCGCGAGGAGTGATATACGAAGCGTGGGCGAAGTCGCGTCCTATCGCCGGCGTTTCGCCGCGCTCGGAGCTAAGCTGAAACAGAGTATGGTCAGACCGTTGTGGAAAGACGTAGCGCTACGTATGTGCAGTCTTCAACGAGGACTTTGCGCATTGCCTTTGTAACCGTGTATGACAAACTATTATATACATGGCTTGTACGTGGCGTTGCCATACCATGTTGGTGGTCAATCCTACTTGTTTTTGCCAAGAAAACAAATTCGGTGGTGCGAAAAGCATAATGCAGAAATTACGCGCTCATCAGCAAGGCCACCATGATTCCAGCGGATGTGACGTCAATTCAAGCCGTGTATGGATGGCCTCCAATGTTTCTAAAGCAGTTCACTCATCCGCTCGCGCTCATGTATCCTCGCAATGCAGATGACACGAGATTGCTTACAACTTAACAGTACGTTTAGTTATATAGCAATGTCGTTCCCTGTCAAACCGGGCAATTACATCATCTGGGTACTATTGCCACTGACATATTTAAAACGACAATGAGGTATTTGAGTGGCACCGCTTCCAGTGCAAGCTTCCGACCTTTTGACAACACTTCGGGGTCTTGTTAGTTCAGAGCGTGAATGCGCAGCAAAAGCACTGCGGATGGCAGCGTGGCGCGTGCTGGAGGTTGACCATCTAAAGCAGGTGTCTTCGAACTTTATCGATAACGGGCCAAGATTAGGCGTCTTTTGCAGTCTCGAGGGCTTGAAAAATAAACAAATAAAAATAAATGAGAAAAAGAAACACTAAATAAATACACCTAGATAAGCATTTAAATACCAAATTTAATGTGGAAAAAATTAAAAAAAAAACGCAAGGTGTATTAATAGAAAACATACAAAGAATAAGAAGACCCGCGAGTAATGCAGTTCAACATACCGTTTGGTAAAGACGCTTTCAGCGCGCGCCAGACTGAGCCGCCATAGCAGACCTTCTCTTGTCTTACAGAGATGCCAAGCCACTGAAGCGGACGTTGACGAGTGTCCACAAGAGCCTATGCTGGGGAGAAAGACGCAGTAACACTTGAAATGGCAATATTGTGTCCTGCTGCGGTAATGATGTAGTGGAGCGAACGGAATAAGAGGGAACAAAAACTGAAGGTCGGTTATAACGGCATACATGCACAGCTGCCTGAAAGCGTCTATAATTCAATATTTCGCTCAATTATGGCTTTATAAAATAATTGGAGCCCAAAATGCTCACCGTGCCAAAATCAGCGCATAGGAGCGTTGGCATGTTCGCACAGGGTAGAAGACTAATCAGAAAGGTAAGACTGGTAACGACAAGACGCGAAACTCATGTAGGTATACCGCGTAAGGACAATATGCAAGAGAAAGCAAAATGATTTTAAGGTCGTGACGCAGACAGGAAACGGAAGACTAAGAAATAAGATACCGGTGACGACAGTGACACGCAACTATCAGCGGGTACGAAGCGTTCGGTGAACATTGCGGAGTCGTTTCTTCACACACGTCTATTTTTTTTTTCCGCCTGTAGCAGCGGGTTTGCTAGAAACGGGCCGCGGGCCGGGCGTGTCCGCAAGCACCGCGACCCGCCGCGGTACGGTGGGAGGGCTACGCTGGTCGGAGTTTTGACACCCCTGATCTTATGGAAACGTCTTCTTGTTCTTATCCTTCCAGTGACTGTAACAAGTGACGCGTTTCTGACATCAATGATGTACCGTAGTTTAAAGGCTTGTTCAAATCTCTTTAAAGCCAAGGCATTCCTGCTTAATCTCCAGCGCTGTGCGTTGAGCTGGCACATGGCACGGCACAACTTGTTTTCGATACCTATATATGTCAAGAGCGGCGACCCCTAAGAGTCACTGGAGTCCGAAATAGCAAGACACTCCCGGCCGAGTGTCTTGCTATCTCTTACGAAGGAAGAAAGCACTGGCGTCATCTACCAAGAAGCCATGGAACACTTGCGGTTCCCGTGTGTTTCCTAATTATTTCTGGAGCGAAAGCTCGCGCTGCAGAACCCAGGGATCCTGGGTTCAATCCCCACCCCCTGCCCGTTTCGATCTGGATGAGCATCGTACCGGCGTGCGGTCGTGTATCACTACTGCGTGATGCACGTTAAAGACCCCAGGCTAGCGGTTGTACTGCACTGGCTAAATTGCTCATCTACAGCTGGGAGACTCGTCGCCCTTGTGAGGCAGACCAAGTTCTAGGCTGTATAAACATACCACACAACCCCCCCCCCCCCCCCCTAGTTATTTCGCAAATAATTTTTTTTTCCTCTCTCGGAAAGCATATGGCAGTGTTATAAATAATAATTTCTCATAAATACTGCGAAGATTTCATTTTTGAAATACTGCGAAACCTTCATTCTAGTGAAATACAGTTCCAAAGCCACCTCATAGATGGCGCCAGCGTGCCAGTATGTTCTCTCGTCCTAAGAGGTCACAAGAGCTCAGTCGTAAGCAAACACAAGTGCGTAAACCAGCCTTTAGTTGGTCTAGTCATAAGTTCCCTAGTGATATATCTCATATGAGTAAGAACTTTCTCGGTTCAAAAAAGACATGATTAATTACGATAATTTAAAGCATACAAACACCTTATAAAACATACAAGAACAATATAAGATTATATATTAAGTAATAAGAAACTTATCATATAATCTTATATTGGATGCTCATATGTTCTTATAAGGTACTTGTATAATCTTATATGATCTCATTTGATCATGTGCCTTTATTGGACCAAGGAGGTTCTAATACGCATGAACTTTTTCACTAGGGTGCCGCCTAATTTTTGCTTATAAAACGTTGAGCACGACTCACAAACAGTTCGCTTTTATACTGCCCGATAACTTACGTCACACAGAAGAGTGACGTGACACTAAACTACTGCACGCGCATATGTTTTTTTTTCTCGTTTTTTTAGACGAAGCTTGCTGCTCTGAACAAGTTGGAGAACAACCTACAAGGCGGACAGTTCCAGAATGGCCCCTTCCAAAACGGACCTTTCCAAGGCAATCCCTTCCAGGCAGGTCCTTTCCAAGCACAGCACATTCAGGGCCTTCCTTTCCAAACTGGAGCCTTTCAAGGGAGCAGAGGATTTCACGCCATCCCAGCGCCGGACTTGAGTCAGAAAGAAGGCCTCCTGCTCGGCGGTTCAACACAAGAGCCCGCCTTCGGACTTATTCCTCAAGGAAACTTTCAGAGACTGGGCGAAAAAGTTAGCCTGATGGAAGGGCTGCAGCTGGCTGATTTACCCCACTTTGATCCTTCAGCTCTTGCGGGAGCAGAGATGGTTCCACTGCGATCTTTATAAGGTGCTTCCGGTATTGCTATGACGTTGTCTGTGCGAATGCATGACTTGTGTGGGCTGATGCTCGAGCAAATAACTGCCAGCTGCGCTGTTAGTTAATTTTTTTTAACGCCTTCACTTCATTGTCATAATGTTGGGATAAGCCACACATTCTGTAAGGTAACAATATTTCTCTGGAGTTTGTTACTCCTGCACATCCGCAAAGAGTTTTTTTTTTATGTTGGAGGTATAATAGGAGGAGTACTAAATTTACTTAGCTTAGAACTAAGACGTTCGGTTACAATGAATCGGGCACTTTCTCAACTCAGGTTAAAATTTTTGTGAATCTCTAATTTGTGCCCCCTTTTTAGCTTCTTTCTTATGATGTCAGTTTTATTATGCATTTAGTTCACTAAGGATTTAGGTTCAATAATTCCGCGTTGTCTGGCAGTTACTGAGGATTCATACCCAATTGTACTGATTTTTCTTTGTCGTTATCACGTAATTTCTAGCATCTGCCCCTTCAAAACACTCTGGATATAAGCGTCCTACAAACAAAGATACCAGAAAGTGAACTACAATTTATTCATAATTGTAGGTATTACGTGACTGTAAATAGTCTATTGTAAATATTTTTTCATGCGAATGTCTCCTTCTCAATAAGAAATATCCGCATTTAGATAACATCGAAGCTCACAATTTCTGGTAAAGCGTTTCTACATGGTGAGAAGTGGTGTAGACTCAAGAGTGACAGTGCGCACATATTCAGAAAAGGGTACGCTTATGAAAAAATCGGGAACTCTAAGACTAGATTAATACACTATAAAAAAAAAAAAAAAAAAAAAAACACGTGCGTCTACATTTCTCTAGATCATTCCAGGAACCAGTTAACGCAATTCATAAAGGCAGATGGTCCAATGACGAGACCCAAAACACGTTTCGATTTAGAAATGAATCATGTGATGTAACACCGAGAACGTTTTAGTCACCGGTAATAAGAGATGGAATGCGGGAGCGGCGAACATATATTACAGACCACGTGCACGCAGTTTAGCGGTAGGCGAGAAAAGCGTCAGTGACGGCGGTGTTTACATTTGTGGTCGCATTCCCCTGCGCGCGTTATCTCCCCACGCTCTGCCGTACAAACGATATTCGCGACTCCAGCAAAACGGACGGCACCTAGAGGGAAAACACTAAACTGACCGCAACATGACTTCTCTCGTTTTCTGCTCGTCTCTTGTGGATTCCCTGAATGCATGCTGTCGGCGGTGGATAAGACGCAGACCGAAGTATAGCGAGGGAAGTTGCGCTGGCTGTGTCTTCAGTAACGAGACGGCCGCAGGGAATGCGGCCGTCTCGTTACTATAGCGAATGAGGAGTACTTTGCATTGCATCTCCTGTTGTGTAGGGCAGACAGTTGCCTCGCCGACTCCGTCGTCACTGCCGTATCAGCGTGATGCCTACAGCCTATAGGTTGCAGTGTACGCTACCTACGCAACCGCGCGAATCAAACGTTGTGCTTTTGTCAACGTTCATCAGCGCGGTAAAAGGACTGTAGGTAGTCTTTCAAACACTCTCCCGAAGAAGGCTAAGCTTCTGGAAGCTCGCTTACGCCAAGACACCGCCGCAGGTTTTAAAAAGTAATAAAGGATCACCGCGGCAAATCTCTTTCAAGCCAATGCATTCCTGCTCAATTCCCAGCGTTGTGTGTGTAGCTGGCAGATGGCACGGCACGACTTGTTTTCGATCCCTATATTTGTCGAGAGCGGCGACCCCTAAGACTAGAGAGTTTTAGTAGATCGTGTTTTCAGGCCACGATAATCGTAGCGGGAGCTCGCGCTGCCACTTTGATGCATGCTCTGAAGCACGCGCTCGTAGCGGCAGCGGGCCTTTCAAAACGATCTACTAAAACTCCCTATTCACTGGAGTCGGGAATAGCGCGCGTATCGTGTGTCTGTGTGTGTGTGCGGGCGTGCGTGAGAGCGGGGGGGGGGGGGAGGCACGCCCCCAAATTCGAGCACTGTCCACTATAGTCTGCATTGTCTACCACCTGGTCGCTACTCACGCATTCCGGCTCATATCGCCGGTGATTGTACTATCGGGGAAAAATGAAATGCGAACAGAGGAGCGCGTGGCTCGCGGTACAGGCTGCGCCGCCTGGAAGTGAGCCAAGGAGCGAGGGTGCGTGGCCTACTTTGATGTGTTTACGCCCCTCGCTCTGCGCTCCCCAAGCTTCAGCAGTGCGCCTCTTAGTGCGCTGAAAGCTATCACCACTATCTTTGCTGGCTCAGCGCGTGCCGTGCAAAGAAGCTCCCCACACTCGCCGAGCAGGCAAAGATAGCGGTGACAGCTTTCAGCGCACTGAGAGGCGCACTGCCGAAGCTGGGGGAGCGCCAATCGAGAGGCGTGAACACATCGAAGTAGGCCACGCACCCTCGCTCCTAGGCTCACTTCCAGGCGGCGCAGCCTGTACCGCGAGCCACGCGCTCCTCTGTTCGCATTTCATTTTTCCCCGGTAGTACACTCATGAGACGCCATGTATGTTCACACTTCTGGTTTTGCTGGAAACGTTCAGTCGTACTGATTGGCTCCCTCGCTGCGCTCTGCGGAAAATTAGGGACTCGGGGATTTTTAGAGTGTAGCATGGTGCATACGTTTTGCCTAAAATATGTGTGGCACGTGCTTTGACGAGATACAAATACGTGAAGCATGTCCAATATGGTTAAGACAGGAAAGATACATCGCATTCAGTTTCATTTTCCCATTCCATAAACACTTCCAAGTTCCCATATCAATACGTTTCAAGTAGGGTGCTTGTTCTAAGGAAAACTTACCTAATTAAAAGTCGCATAGTTATAGGGATCTTGTGAGCAACTGTTACTTAATTGAGACAAAATAATGTATTTGATTCGATCGGTCTGGAGCTCGTTGATGATTGGTTGACAACGTTTTGAGGTATGCGCTTCATATGATCGTAAGAAACAAAAGAGAAATATGACGTTAAATTACCTGAGAATGAAATAAAAAAATATTTAGAAAATTGAAATAGTTTGTATACCTTCCTTTTAATGTGTCTTCCACTTAAAAATATATATATGTATAACAGCTTCCTTTTTTGGTTATTGGTTAACATCGTGGTAAACTTTCTCTAGCTCGCATGCACTCATTTCTTTCTTCTATATTTTTTTTTTTGTAGAAAGGAGCTGTCAACTTGTTTTCAGCTTCAGCAGGTGAACTATGTCCTCACTCTGGAACACTAGCAGCCTAATCAACTGCACAGCACGCTGGGAGTCAATCAGCACGGTTCGCAAATCGAGCCCGGTGGATCACCACTGTAGGATAAAGCTAGGATCGAAAAACTAAGAATGACATTTGTACCATCGTGTTCAAATGAAATGCGAACAGTGACGGAAATTTGAGCCCGCTACCCGCGCAGCTTCCAAGCTTGCGTTTTACTTGACGAGGTTCAAACACAACTCAAGCTTAGATGCTGCGCCGATAATGGGTTCGAAGCTCCGTCACTTTTGGCATTTCATTCGAATCCAATGATACATCCGAGCCTGGTGTTACACCCTTAGATTCTCCGTGTGTATCAGGTTCCTCCACCTAAAAACGCTCGTGCGTTTGTTTTTCCGCAAACCACTCGGAGTGCCAATCACTAGGAACTACAAAGAGAGCCTGGGGAATCATTTAGCCGAGAATATGCCAAGGCCTAAAAAATAAGTCTGCATTGTGACACGTGTCGCATCGGAGATTTTATTTCGAGCGTCGCCTCCTTATTCGCCGAGGTTGTCCACAGATCGCAGTGAATGGATCTCCGAACGCTTTGTGAGCAGGGAAGTATAACCACTGTCATTTTTTTAATAGTTTTGATGCACACGTTTACTGGGTCTCGTTACTCGCCGCCAGCCCATTTGCGGACAGTCGATTCGCTTAACACGTGTTTTGTGGGGAAAAGAAAAAAGACCTGCAGGTGTTCATAGCACGTCCTGTCATTTGAGGGTTGTCATGTTTCACCGAGATGTGCAGCCACTGAAGCGGGGGTTGATGAGTCTACACGGAAGCCTGTGTTGGAGATAAGGGCACTGCAGTGTCTAAAGAGGCAATACCCTGTCTTGTTACCGTAGTGAGAAAGGGAAAACAAAAACGGAAGGTCAGTTATGGGCGATCCCATGCACAGCTTCTGCAATCCGTCTTTAGCGCACGCACCACATAAAAGTTGGACTCCATAAAGCTAACAAAAACGACGAATTTCGCGAGGCGGCTTTCACTCTGCGCGTGGCTTCAGAACAGTGGCCGTTGCGCCGCGCGCACAGTGAACGTGTCGCCGGGCAGAGTTCCTCGGCTGTTCGCCGCACGTTCTCTCCGTGGAATCCAGCTTTTACGTTGTTAGCGGGAACTGTGCCGCTACTTTAAAGGACGGTTGTGCACGCGCCCGGAAGTCCGGCTATCCGCAGTGTACGCTGTACTAAAACTCCACCGTCCCTGAAAGCGTTGGAAAAATATTGCGATTCTCTTTTTCAATAAGATATTCGCTTTGTAATTTGTTAGATAGGTGTTCTAATTAACAATACAGCCATATGAGACTCGCTCACAAAATTTCTTTAATGACAGTAAGCATCCTATAAACCTCCTAGAGTCCGACAGAAAACTAAACAGTAATGAGCACGAAAGGTGAATTCAGAACGTTACCTGCCAATATATTACAGGTAAAACTCTAATTACTAATACAAATAATGCGAAGAATAATGTTCATAGATAATATTTTATACTCTATATATTTTTCCATTACTTTGTAGAAAATATGTTGGAACGAGCACACCTGGGGTAATCGGCAAACAAAAGCCCATGCAGCGAGCGAAGCGATCAGTTGTTTACTTCCCAACTATACTCTTGGCTCAAAAGACCATATTGAAACAGTGTGTAGAAGTTGCACTATGTTTAAAATGATATCTCTGCCACGGTTGGCTAAACCACTAAAGGTTCAGCTGACATACTGGACTAAGAGCTGGCTCTAATAATAA